GGCCAGGGTCGGCCTGGGGCCGTCTCCTGTAGCCACGCGGGCCCCCTGGCTGTGCAGAGTCCTGGCAGCCCTTCTGCTCCGGTGTGACGGGGCGAGGCCCCGGTGTCTGGCGCTGGGTGGGGACGGGCCCCGTCTGCCTTGCATTGCTGCAGCCGTGTCCAGGCCTCCTCTAGGCCTCACCTCCAACGCGGCTGTGACCTAGGACAGGTGGTAGAGCGGTCACTGTGGATACAGCGTGGGACGGGGGGGTGGTCGCTGTGGGTACAGTGTGGGATGGGGGAGCAACCGTCACCATGGGTACAACGTGGGACGAGGGCGGAGTCGTTACCATGGGTACAACGTGGGACAGGGGTGGAGTCGTCACCATGGGTACAACGTGGGCGGAGCTGTAACCAGGGGTACAAGGTGGGACGGGGAGTGGAAGGGTGACTCTGGGTATAAATTACCATGGGTACAATGTGGGACGGGGGAGCAGTCACTGTGGGTACGGTGTGGGATGGGGGGCAACCGTCACCATGGGTACAACGTGGGACAGGGGTGGAGTCGTCACCATGGGTACAACGTGGGCGGAGCTGTAACCAGGGGTACAAGGTGGGACGGGGAGTGGAAGGGTGACTCTGGGTATAACATGGGATGGGGGGGTGGAGCTGTCACCGTGCGCACAGCTATGTGTCAGGGAGTGGCGGGGGGGGGGTGGGGACGGCCCCAGTCGTCCCTGGAAAGGTGACTAGTGGCCCGCCATTCCCCGGACCTCACAGGGAGCAGGGGAGGGTGCACGGCGAGACGGGGAAGGAAGCGGTTAAAGACACTTCCATGCGCTGGATTATTCCAGCTGGCAGGAGAAATGAGCCGTTGGGGACTCGTGGCGCTAGCGGAAGCGAGCGGAGCCCCCTTCCCAATTAGCGGAGAAGGCTCCTGGAGGAAGCCCCGTCCGCCTGGCCCAGGGTCGCGCAGCACCTGGCTGTAGAAAGACCAGCCACCCTAATGTCGGTGTCGGGATGGTACCGGAACACGTCCGGGGACAACAGCGTGAGCAGCAGCTGGCGCAGAGCAGGGCGATAAAGGACAGTCAATGTGGATTTGTCAAGAGCGCATCACGCCAAGCCAACCCCATTGGCGTCTGTGACAGGGCGCCGGGCGGACAGCATGTGGGGGAAGCAGCAGACGTAATTGATCTTGATTTGAGGGAGACTCCGGAAATGCAGGCGATCCACAAGGAAAGCAGCAGAGGGTGGATGTGCAAGTGGCAGGGAGCCCGTGTTCAGCGTCACGGATGGCGCTCAGAACAGGCGAGCGCGTCGGGGGGAGCCCGCCAGGGCTAGGTGTGTGTCTGGCACCATTTCAGAGCCTCGCTATGACTTGGCTAAGGAGGCGGAGAGGATGCTGCCAGCCTTCGATGAAGCTGGGAGGGGTTGCAAGCACTTGGGCGGCAGGATCCAAAGTCCAACCGACCTCCCCGCGTCGGAGACTTGGTCTGAGAGCAACAAGATGAAATTCATGAAAGACGGGTGCAAAACTCTGCCCTGAGGCAGGAAAAGCAAACGCACGGCTACTGAGTGGGGACCTCCCGGCAGGGCGTGGGGGTCACTGCTGAAAGGAACCTGGGGGGCCAGATCTGGGGGCCGCGCCTTAGGGAAACGTGGACAAATGGAGCCAAGAGGGGAGGATTAAGGGGTAGAAAACCTGGCCTCGGAGGTGAGCCAAGGGTGGCGTCACTGTTGCCTTCTTGCCGAGCTATTAAAAAACGCCCCGAGCGGCGTCCCAGTGAGCTGAGACAGACCCGCGCCAACCTTGGGCCAAGGACGAGCCGGCGCGTCAGGTGGTTCCGGTGGCGCATGTGCTCTCTGCGTCTCGTATTGATCGCCGGCTTCCCATCTGGACACTTGCCCTGTCGCGGCAGCGTTCGTGCCGGGCCGGAACCGAACGTCTCCATCTGAGTGCCCAGATGGGCCCCCTGGAGCATTTCCCACCGCAGGGGACATGGCATCATGCCGCAGGCCCCGAGGCAGCCACAGTGCCAGGCAGCGTGCCCTGTAAGCTGAGCACTTGGGCAGCCACCCAGGAAAGAGTCAGGTGCCACCCAGCTGACTACAGAGCAGCCACAGCCGGCAGCCTGTTTCTATTGGTGGTGCACAAAAGCTCCTGCCTCGGTGCACAGAACAAAATTTATTGTGCCCATGGATGGAAAAAATCAGAGGGAACCTTGGTGCCCGGACATACCTGTGTGGGTGTTTCTCCAGCCCCTGTGAGGTTAGGACCTTTCTCCGTTCCCTGGGGAGCTCCTGGGGGTCTCTGCTAGACACAGAACGTGAGTCACGTTTACGTTGAACTCCCTCCACCTCGCTCCTACCCTCTGTGTTGAGAGCAGGGACTGCAAGATGCGACTGGCTCTGGGGCCTGTCCTGAGAACGCTCCATTCTGCCCAGCCACCCTCACTGTCAGAAGCTGGGGGGAGGGACTTTCCTTTGCCGACCGGCCCAGCCCGGCCCCTTTCCAATCCACGCCGGCCCCAGGCAGCCGGCTACAGAAGCCCTGCCTGGGCCGAGTGGGGAAGAGGAACCTGTGTATCACCCTGGAA